GGGGGGTCTGCATGTGTGTGCTGTTTGTAAAAAATACAGACATTTAGATACATTTGTCAGAGTATCTGAGCCGGAGTGACCTCCACTCCTCACCTGTCTGCTTCAGTGGGCTCTCCTTCGGCTGCACCATCCTCTCTGTTCTGACTCGAACAGAGAACAGAAGAAGACGCTATAAACCTCGAAATTCTGTCCACATATTCAGGAGGGAACGTTTCCAGCACAAAATCGGATGGATCCGCTGCAGCAACTTCAGCAACAGCGTCGGATTCAGTCCACTCATTGGACCGACGCACTTTCGCCATCGTAGGACTCACCGAGGGATCCGTGAAAAATCTTAGACATGAAACACGTAAATACAAGAATCTTCACCAAAACACTCCACATGCGATTCGACCTGGAAGTGTTTAGACGTCACCGAGGTGACGATGGTCATCTGACCAATCGCCAAAGAGGAGGCAGACGATACTAAAAGAATCAAGATGTTACAGTGTTTCCACTTCCGGTTTTGTCTCCAGCTGAGCTCTATATAAGATTTTTTTTTTGTGGGTTGATGGCTCCTGCATCAACTCGACATAACAATGAGCCTCACACAGAGATAGAATTAATATTAATATTGCAGTTAGCAGTAATAATGGTATTAGTTCCGTTCAGAAGCGAAGCACGAGCAGCTCGTTTTCTGTATGAGACTGTGCACCACATATACACTATATCCACAGTCTGTTCAGCAACTTGCGACAAATGTAAAGTGTCTCCTGATGTGTGAATTCATCGTCCTTGTCGTGGTCTGCATTATTTAATGAGCTCTGTCTTAGGATATTTGCTTTAAATGTAACCAACTCTATGAACTGGTGTGCAGTTCATAGAGTTGGGAGATTTCCGGAGCCCAAAGACCGCACTTCTAGAGCCAAGCCAATAATAATGCTTTCCTTTTTATCTAGATGGAATTATTAATTATTACGGCGAATATGGGCGATTTTTTGTTCGATTTTTAAGTGAAAGAAATAACCAATGTCTTTAAATTGGATGAGGAAACACTTCCGATGAGGGTTATCATCTTGTTCTTATTTACTCTTTGTTTGAAGTTATCCCTGGTCCTGTCCGCTTTTTCTTATCCACTTTCCCTGCACCTCTAAACTGTATCCCAGCGCGCTCACTCTCAGGTGGATCTATGGCAGACACCAGCAAAACCGAGAAGGTTCAGCTGCACGCCCCAGATCTAGAAGAGCTGCGTGGCGGTAAGCTCTGATATGTAAGCGCAAAGTTGTGCATGTGTGTTCATGTGACTGGGTGCTAATGAAGGTGTTTGGTTGCAGTATTACAAGCAGGACTGGAAACCAACTTTGCTGAAGTTCAAGTGAGTGTTGTGGAGTGTCCGGATCTCACCAAAGAACCCTTCCAGTTTCCTGTCAAAGGTAGGAGCCTATCAAGAACACATGTGTGATTAAAAACGAATGTATAAGCATTTTGGTCAATTTAAAACACTTCATAAAACATGCATATGAGTGGGGATGAGCTTCATTTGCAGACTGCGTATCAGAAACACCGTGAAAGATTCTTAATTTCGCCTGTACCCTGCAGGCTTGTGTGGAAGCCCTCGCATCACTGATGTTGGTGGTGTGCCATACCTGGTGCCTCTGGTCAGAAAGGAAAAGGTAGTTTTTAAAATAAAAGAATTGCATTGAGAAACTTTAGTGAAAGGTTTTGCTAAAGCATATTCAGCATCTTCTTCTACTGTCAGGAATACAACATGAACACTGTATCAAAGGAGCTGGAACTTCCGGGCGCTTTCATCCTCGGTGCAGCAGCTGCACCCAATAGAATAGTTGGAATGAACGCAGAGGTGAATTGCCTTCCTTCTCATTCAAAGTGCTTCACTCAGCAAATGACCTCAGTATAAACTAGCTGTCATTATAATCTTGAAAGGGCAGTTTGGTACGGCAGCAGTCAGTGGAATGAATGTTCTTGTCCACAGCTGATGCCTCTGGTTCTGACCGAGGCGGGGGGAAGGCCCGCAGTGAACAGCAGCTACTTCTCCTCCATCAATCCAGCTGACGACCAGTGTCTGCTAGAAAAATACAGCGACAAGTTCACAGACTGCAACTTTGGGCTGCTGGGAAATCTGTATGCTTGCGAAGGGAAACCTGGAAAGGTAATCAGTCATAGCCTTTTAAAAAATGCACTCTCATCCTGATTTGGCTTTTGGAAAATAAAGAACTAGTTATACTTAAACATAATTATCTGTAAGTAAATAAAATTGCTGATGTTGTTTTGCGTGAACTTCAGCCCCATTTAATGAGAGAATAAACATTAACGAGAGTTGTGTGCCTAAACATGCTGAGTTGGTAGTCTTCGCCCGTGTGCCTCTGCAGGTCATAGAGGTTCAGGCAAAGAGGAGAACAGGAAGTCACAGTCTGGTGACGGCCTTGCGGACGAGCCTTGAAGCTCATTACCCTGATAAAAGTCTGGCCCTGGGAGGCACCTTCATCATCCAGAAAGGGAAGGCTAAAATCCACATCATGGTAAATAGTGGACACGACACAGAGCATGTTACAGACTGCTGCTGGCACAGCCACGTGCTTTGATTTGTTTCCTTGCCTGTCAACAGCCAAGAGAGTTCTCAGTCTGTCCCCTCAACACCAACGACGACGTCAACAACTGGCTCAAGCACTTTGAGGTCAGCTCTCCACTCATCTGCCAGTCGGTGCTCGTATCCAGAGACCCTGTAAGTTAAAGCCAATAGACTCACACCTCAGCGTGATGCAGAAATCTAAAAAGATCTGGTTATAGTTTTATTACCTGATTACGGTGTTTTTGTTCAGTAGGCTTCTTTGTAATGTCCGCCTGGTTGCTTTGCAGGGCCTGGACCTGCGTGTGGAACACACCCACTGCTTCAGTCACCACGGAGAAGGTGGCCACTACTACATAGACACTACACCTGACAGTGTGGAGTATCTGGGCTACTTCATGCCTGCAGAGTTTGTCTACCGCATCGACAGGCCGAAGGAGACCCACGGAGTCGGACGAGATTGAAAAAACACATAAAACATGTTGGCAGCACAGAATCGTCTGATAATCTAAACTGAGGCGACTCATTGATTCATTTAAAGCATGTTACATTTCACACATAAAAAAATCACTGCACGTGAATCAATAAAATAAAAGAATCCCAATGAAGTGATCTGAATTGTGTGAAGAAAAAAAAGGTGGACAGTGACATCACAACGCTGACGTACTTTGGACCTTGGCAAACATTAATGCTTGCCGACTCTACTGCAATCAAAAAAGTTGTGCAACGTGTTGCAGGCTAGACTGTTGCAGTAGGTAAAGCTGCTTAGAGAAAGCTAGCTTTTTAAAAACCTCCATGGCCAACCTGCCCACACCCTGGATTCACTTATTTGTATGATTAGGCCTCTTGTGGGTGTGTGCACAATGTGCTTGATTAATACCCACCTCACATCGCTTTCTTATACTTCCACTTGCTGAAACAGGGTAGAATAGCAGTGCTGGTGCTTAGAAAGACAAGTGGTGTAAGCGTATAACTGTGTACACCTAACCAGTGATATTGTAAGTAAATCAGATTTTAGTGTTTTAAATCCGTGTCATTTCAAATAAATCTTTCCTCAGCGGAAAACTGTCACAGCAAAATCGATGGAAAGATGTGTTACTTGTAACGAACTTTGTCATTTAATTAATAAACCAAGACAATGGTTTTCTTCTGAGTGGCTTTTTTTAAAATGTGTGTTGTAAAATAACTATATATTCTGTTTGGTAAGGTTCAAGTAAGCTGTGGGAAAGGCTGAAATGATTTTCTGTTGGTACCAAGGGGTCAAAGTGTGCCAAGGAAATATCCCTGACACCATGACACCAGCCTCAACCACTGAGACAAATAAGGATAGATGCATGTTTTTATGTTGTCTACATGAAATTTCGACCCTACCATTCGAAAGTTGCATCACTAAACATTCATCACCAAGCCGCGTTTTTCTTATCGTCTATTACCCAGTTTTGATTAACCTGTGCAAACTGTAGGCCCTCTTTGCTTTTTTTTTAACAGACAAATGTGATACGTGGTGTGGTTGTCTACTGCTTAGCCTATCTGCTCCATGTTCAACGTGTGTTCAAAGATGCTCTTCTGCATACCTCGATTGTAACAAGACAGTTAAATCACCTCTCTTCCCTATTCTGATGTTCTGTTGAAACTTCAGCAACCATGTCTTCGTGTTTGAATGAATTACATTGCTACCGTCTGATTGGGTGATAGTAGAACTTTGAGGCTTTCTAAATGTTTCTCCCTAGTATTTGGGGAAACATTTTGGAAGGAACGTTTAAGAAATTTTCCCTAAAGGCTATTTAAAGGTTCTTGTACAGCTACATGTATAGCCAGCAGGCATACAGGCTTTTAATATTATCTGTTTCACCGTGGGCATACCATGTTTCCAATATAATAATTAAATTAATGTAATTAATAAAAATTAAAAAAAAAGTAAAATTTGTTTTTATTTTTATTTTATTTAAACATTTTAAATACTTCTATCAAAATGTAAAAACCAAATCACTTATCAAAGGTGACTCTTATAGCTTTAATATTCTTCACGTTCAAAGAGCGCCCTCTGGTGACCAACGCAGGCGGTACACCATTTCCCACAATGCTGCTGCCGCACCAGCCCGGAAGTGAGACGTTTATTGACAATATGGCTGCCGAACTGGGTTTCGGATTTGCAGAAATATTTTAATTGACAGCGGTAGCCGTGGCTGCGACAATAACCCGTTTCCAGCTCAGGAGTGTACGCGACAGTTGCATTTGAATGAAGACAACCGCGAATCCACGGGATGGTGTCAGTGAGCTGAGGAAACGTCCAGAGTGTGAATCCCGTCATGTCGTTTTTCAAGAGGAAAGGTGAGGAAAAAGCTCCCGCTGAACGCTGCAACGTCGATGGTAGCTAGCGCCGCGGAGAGGGGTGCCCGATAATATGTGACTGATGAGGTTGTCAGTGCATAAATTAGCCGTGAAAACTGAGGCGTTTGAGGGGATACGTTTCCTCCTTTGCCGCTGCTCCTTTCTGCTTTTACATGATTAGCTTAGCGCTGGCCTCACTGCCCCCCCCCCCCCCCCTTCCTGATTTATCTAACTTCATGTTAGCCGGGGTGGCATTAAATCCACCACAGAAACCTGCCACAAGTCTACATCAACGCCTTCCTGTCTGCAGACATAATTCAGGGCTTTCATAGCATCAAAGGAACACTGTTATCTGCTCCAAAGCAACGCTTGTGTCGAAATGTTCAGTAGCAGCTAGCTAGCTCTGTTGAGGTATTTTCATACATACTTAACAAGCAAGATATGTCAGAAATATTACCGGTGACAGGTTGTGTCTCAGTCAGAGCT